TATAATAAATTTTTAAAGATTAAAAATATATAAAATTCAATAAAAAGCTATAAAAATTTAAATTATTTTTTAAATAAATAAAAACTGATGAAGTAAATAAGCTTTTTAAAGAAAACATATTTGCTATTAAATATCTAATATATTTGTTTATTTTTTTAAAGTGTATTAGAATGAAATCAATATTATCAATATTTAATATGCAATATATTTTTATTAAATTAAAATAAAAAATAAATGTTTAGGTGCATTTTAAAGTATAGGCTACATATACTTATCAATTTATATGAAATTTAGTTTGTATTATGTTATTCTTATGAAGAAAATATATTGTATAATCAGTTCTAGTATTGACTGTTGCTCACCCAAAATTATCTTGAAATCAGGACAAAAAAAATTGTCTTAAAGTATCAATTATTTGAAAATCAATTGAATTAAACTATCAATCATTTAAAAATCAGTGGATAACAGATGATATTATTAGATGAATATTATGTAAAATAAAAGTATTAAATCAGTATTAAATATAAAGATAAACTATGTGTAAAATTAAATACAGTTCAAAATAAACAAAAAAAGTGTGATAACATAATTTAAATAAATTGAAAACAGTAAATACGATATATCCTATAAAAAAAATTTAGTAAGTTTAATACATGTAAATTAATAACATTAAAGTTTATAGATTAAAGAAAAATATGTTTACTTTTTATTTTACTATAATTTTCATTGAATTGTTTCAATTAACAATAAATTCTAACCCATTTCATGATTGTTAATTATAAAAATGAATATTTTAAATTATTTTCTAAATAAAATATATATTTAGATTTTATTTAAGTATTAAATATGGCTTAATGAACTGTCATATCAATTGTATTTGATTGAAAATGAATAAATGTTTTGTTACAGCCGCTTAATATCTTGCCAAATATAATCGTTTGAACCATTTCCTACTCGGAGAAATTGTTTATTTTACTTAAGTGGATAATACAACAGCTAAACTAATACATACTTTATTCAGAAATGCTTAATTTGTTGATTAAGAAGCACTCCGAATAGGTCATTCAGAGTGGTGCGTTAACTCTGATTCATTATAAATGTACAGTATGCCTATTTGTTAAAAATTCTGTTCTGTTGTCTTTGCTATTCATTCAATAAACGATCTTTATTAAGTAATTCGCCTTATCTAAAGTAAAGATGACTACATGATTGCTTATTAGAGAATGCTTTTATGATGTTATTTTCGTCACTTTAGTCTGTTAAAGTGTGACTTAAATTGCACTTAAATTGACTTCGATTTTTATCGTGCTCAGTTACAGATATGACTTAGAATTTTATTATAAATTTATATTAAAAAAAAACTTATTTGCATTGCATATATAATATATAGCCAAATTTATTCATTTTATAAACTTTGAAGTTGATAAATTATTTTAAGAATTAGTTATTAAGAAATGAAAAGTAAATATATATTTTTAGTATTACGAAATTCAATTATTAATATATATATATTAATAATTGAATTTCGTAATACATTAATTTTCAAAATAACATAAAATCTTTCGATAATATAGGCCTATAAATTCTAATATGCTTTCGATATTTCTATTTTCAGAAAAAAATCTTAAACTTTTAATTTAATATTAAATAAAGTAAATTAATTTATTTTCAATTATTAAAATGATGAATCAAAATTAAATTCTTCGAATAAATTACACTTATTTACTCTGTTTTTAATTTTGGTAATAGTTTTGTTGTTTTAATAAATTATTATTTGGACTTTAAAATGTTTAAATCCTATCAAATATTAGATGTTAATAATCGCAGCTAATAGCCTATTAATTTTCAAATCATATATGTTTTTGTAAATTAATATTTTGGTAAATATCAAAAGTAAAAATAAAACAATTAAATTAATTTTTTATTTTTTATTTTTTAAAACTAAATCTGAGTTTAAGCAATTAAAGATTAAGTTCGATAAGCATTAAAAATTATATATATTTTTTAAAATTAATAATTAAAACCTGTACGAAATTTTAATTAAATGTAAATTTATATTACAGTAGAACCTCGATTATCCGGACTAATTGGGGATGAAGGTAGTCCGGATAAGGAAAAATCCGGATAATCGAAACAAATACTTTAATTTGTCTTTTAAAGATAATACAACACGTTTTCTTTTCGATGACATATCGGTAATATTAAAAGTAAATACTGTATTTAAACCGTGATCAAATTTTCAAGAAACAAACGTTCGTATTGAATTTGAACCTCTACTGACTAACACTAACAGACTACCTATTGTTTAAAAGGTCCTCTGGTGGCGCAAGAAGACGGATTTTATAAAATAAAAAGCAGTTGAAACTGCATTTTTATGAATAAAAATTTGACAAACTATTTATCGTTTTATGACGAGTAAAATTTTTTCGTCGCGTTCGCGGCTTTTAAGTAATGCATAAACCTTCGAGGCGCGAGGCCCTTCGGACCGCGAGGCATAGGCGGTGGCCCACGTCGTCCATGCCTTACGCCGCCCTTGGTCATAGAAATGATGTAATTTGAATATAAATTATTTATAAATACGTATGTCAAGTTATATTTTTATTACTACGTAAAATATATTTAAGAGTTTATGACCACTGTGCTGGGTGAGACGTTGTTGAAACAAATAAAGTTATGCATTCCATCACGTACATAAACAGTATCGTAATTTGCCAAGTGCAAATCGGCAAATTCGTAAAATTTTTGTTTATTTTGAACAATCCGGATAATCGAAAATCCGGATAATGGAGGTCCGGATAATGGAGGTTCTACTGTATTACAAAAAAAAGGTCAAAAGCAATTTAATGTTTACACAAATTCTCTAATTCAAAAGATTTCTAACTTCAATATTCTTCATGGCATTTTGAGTAATATTCTGAAACCTTGTCAAGAGATATATTTTTGAAATTATGAAATACGGATATATAAATAATATATTAAATCACATAACGTTCAATTTTAGGCCCACCAGTGACCGAGCAGATAAAACCACTTAACACTGGTAGTTTGTCCTGGGTTTAGATCGCCTAATTTAGAAACTCTAAATTAGGTGATCTAATTAGGAAACTCTAAATTAAGTGAAAAATACCTAAATAGAGGCCCGTTTTCCATAGAAATCCTACCCAAAAGACAACCCTTTGGTAATCGCCCATGTGTTGCGTTACTTTATACCAGGAGTCACCCAAAGTAAGTCTATATTGACTCCAAAAGTCGATAAGTTGTTTTCGAGGATAAAAAATTAGTGGGTATCAATTAAGAGTCGATTGAAGACGGCTCGTTGAAAGTAATTAGTACAAACTATGTATACAGGTGATTCTAAATACTGTATATGCGAAAAATTTTAGAAATTGACTTTTCGAATAATTTTAGGCATAAAAGTGCATATAAGCGTATGTTCAAAATGGCATAGTTTTAAAGTTACAGGATGTTTAATAAGTGACCCCATTTAAAATGTTGATTAATTATGGAATCGCATTGTTGCATTATGTGGAAT